CTAGCAATAGGCTTAAATTCATTGGCTGTCTGTCAAAGCAGTCTATTGTATTTGCTGTCAGCTTCTGAATGTCTTGGATGACCTCAATGACTAAAAATCAAAGCTAGTCCACTCGAATATCATTCAGTCTTKGTATTGCATTGATTTCTTCTTCCCCCCTCAGATAAGCAAGAATGGGAAGGGAACATTTCTCAGCAGTTGTAGTTACTGGCAGAGTATTGTAACAATGTACTGAAAATCTCTAAGAATAGTGAGTCAATGGCGCCAGAGTATCAATAATGTGACTATCTGTGGCCTCTTTTGTTCCTMGTGTTCCCACCATTGCTGGTACTCACTCCCACTCACTGAGGAAAATCCTGACCTTTTCTCAATCCGCATTGTTTGGCTGCTGGAAAATCAAATAGCAATTTTGATGGTTTTATTCTCTAAAGTGCAGTGTTCCAATGAACCTGCTGTTGCTGTGAATGAGGGAATTGACACCTGCCTTAACACCATTGTTTCAAAGTTTTCAGCAGTACATGGAAATTATTATTTTTTTTTCTTCCTTTTTCTTTTTTCTCTTTTTTTCCCATCTTCTTTCTTGCTTATAGTTTCTGGTAGACAAAACATAACTATTCAATTATTGTTTAACCTAGCTCAGGGCAACACTGGGTAACAGAATAAGATATCTCCTTCTTTTCTGTTTGTGTTCCCTCACCTGGGATGGAATTGCTTGCTGAAAGTTGCAGAAAATCTTGTCACATAACTGAGCCTCCTATCACTGCCTGTCTCTGAGTGATTCAAATGCTCTASAGATGTCACATCTTTACTGATATGATAGTGACAATGATATTTTTTTGTTTGTTTTTTATTTAAAATTAAAGTTTATAATCTGAGGCTACATCTCATTTCCCATCCCTCTCATGTACCAGTGCCTTTTTGCTGAATGACTTCTAATTTTAGAAATCGGGCTGTACATAATGTAGAGGAGAATTTYCTAAGCCACTGGCATTGGAAGCCACTCTCCACATCTGTGGAAGGCCAAAGATGCAGCCTTGATGTGGTAATCTGTAGGAGGAGATAGTGTGGAGTCTCCCTTCTTGCAGGTAATAAAAACCCACACTCAACGTGGTCCTGTGAAATCTGCTCTGGGTCACTCTCCTTGATTGGGGCAGTTGGACCAGACAATGTCAGGAGGTGCCTTACAGCCTCAGCCATTCTGTGAGCCAGTGAAAAGTTATTTATTCAGGTGTGTCAAGGTTAAAATCCTTTAGAAAATCAGGGAAGGACGCACCAAAGTGTGCAAATTCCCTTCTCCCTTCTACGTATTTTCTGTAGGAAAGTGTTTTTTTATCATATAAATGGAATTATGTAGTGACATATATAAGGTATGTTTCTCAACCTTGGTACTTGTCAGATCAAATTGTTTAGAAGTATTATTTTTTAGTGACTTGTTAAGGCTAATGGATGCTTTGAGAGTAATATCTAGAGTATACCAAGTATTTAAAATCTTTCTTTTTCCTGTTGCAGTTTTTTTATTTGATATGTTTGGTGGTATTTGCAGGGGCAGGATGGTGTGGAAAAATAAGAGTAATAACAATTGTAGTTTACTAAGGGATGACAACATAATRTTGGAGCTTTTCTTGTGAGAAATAAATGGGAATTGCATTGGAGTGATAGGTTGCAAACAGGAGGTGTTAAGTATCTAGGAAAGTTGTATGGTGTCCACTTGCCATTATTAATAACATCTTTGTTCTGTTGAATCATGATTGCTCCTGAGCATCCTTCAGTGAGCCACTTGTCTCTATTAGCCTTGCTGCCTGATTAAATCTCAGAACTGTCCTTTGTCAGATGATTAGCTCCATTAATACTTCACTTTCTCTCTGGGTCATAATTTATTATGAGGCCTAACCTGGAATAATACTTCAAAAGTCAAATGTGCAGTTAACTAATCTGAGAGGTTTGCATTCCCAGTTGCAAAGCTGGATGCTTGTCAGAACATGTTGGTGATTGTGCTGTAGTTGAAACAAGATCTGTTCAAGGGCACTAGAGACTTTAGGGCACAAAAATCAGGTAAATCTCACTGCTCACTGTCTCCGATTTCTGGAAGGCATTTTTGTAGACCTCAGAGAGTCCATTTTCTGAATCGATAACCTACAGAAAATGAGGTTAAGCCCATTCCACTCGATGTCTATCAATTTGAGAAAAGCGTTTTTTTTGCTGTGGGAAGGGATCCCATTGTTACTGTGATAAAGGAATTCAGGATCCATGCAGTGTTTCATGTCTAAATCTAACCCGAAGAGAGTGCACTATTCTGCAATTCTTTTCATCTTGAAATAAAAGAAATAAACATCCCATATTACTCTTGAACAGGTTAAGGAATTACCTGCCTGGCCATTTGGTTATTCTTGTCTCACAGTACAAACACCTGCAAGGACATTCACTGTCTCACTGCTGAAGGATCTCTTACAATCACAGCATTATGAAAGTGGCAGAGGAATGTTCTTGGCACGTTTCTGCAGCACCTCGATAAATGTCATTCAGCTTCCACATCTAGCATTCAATCCATAAATCTGGGCTATGAGGACATCTCTTTTGAAAAGTTYGTGTTTACAATGGGGAAATCATGCCATGCATAACCAAAAGATTGATTCTTTTTTAGGTTAGGAGGCTGTCACTAACAAATTGTTGTGGTATAAAYTTGTCAGAGCAAGCACCTAGAGATAAAAGTGCTTGCAATGATCTCTGTATAGAGATAAACAGCAGTGGAATAGATTTGTGTTTACAAAGAAGAGCAGCATTGCCTGATCTTTGAATAAGTTTCAGACATTCAAATTGTGGGGTTGACTCTCATTTTTCTCCAGAGACCCTTGTTTTATTAGCAGAGTGGACATGAATTAATTGGTGATAGCGGTTAAATCACTTGCATTTATCTTTGTAGAGAAAAAAAAAAAAAAAAAAAAAAAAAAAAAAAACAAAAAAAAACAAACAATCCACTATGTTATTAAATATGCTATTACAGCTGCCTGGGGTGGAAAAGCAGAAGTTGAAACAGTTTGAAGAGATGTTTTTTTCTTTCCTTTCCCCTGCTAAGTATCACATAATATTGTTTGAACAGTTTGAAAAAGGTGGGTTTGTCTATTTTTCCTTTTCCTTGCTAAATGCCACATTATTCTTTGAACCTGTTTGCATTTGGCAGTTTTAGCAGAGATGATTAAACAGAAACAGYTATTTATGTGTAATATTTTATATGAAGTTGCTGAGGAAGTTTGTAATAAAACATCAGACTGAATATTCATCTTCCACCAACAAAATGTATCTTTCTTCTCTCATCTGTGTACTGCACATAGCTGGAAGAAACAAAACTCATATAATAAACAGCTTACAGTCAACACAGAGGGAAGTGGTGCTTGTGGGCAAAAATAAAATTTTTAACACTTTTAGCATCATATATTACCAAAAGCATGCATCTCTCACATGCTATTGCTTTTAGATGAGTCTCTTAACTATTCMATTATTACTTTCAGCCAAAGGATGAAGCTGACAGCATTACTTGGGAGACATAGCAGCAGAACTCTAGGAAGCTTATTGTAGCAAATWCTCATATATTAGTGGCAGAGTGTATATAATGCATGTCTTCTRTGGCAAGTTTCCAGTTATACTATTGTGTTGTCATTTTCTTTTCCACTCATGCTCATCTGAACACAATTAGAATATGCTCCTTCRTGTATGCAGTATTGCTTTGTAATGAAATAGTAACTTTGCAAACTCTAGTATTTTTTTCAGGAGTATATTTTATTTTTGAAACTGGTGGGAAAGATATGTTTAAAGTGCTATTGAGTTGAGGTTTTAARAACAGAAGATATATTTGTATCAAAAATATTTGCCTTGTCTTGGCTCCTTGGACAGTTGGAGGGAGAGAAAGCAAAAGTATTTTTATTATTAATTGACAGACATTATTAATGCCATGCATTTCTCTTGTAGCTCCTTTATATCTGCCTTTCAAATTTAGCTGAATCCATTAATGTTATTAATTGCTGAACATTTCAGAAGGGAATTTAATAYCCCTTTTTATTTAAGAAGTGTAGAGAATTTTATTGCCAACCTAAAGGCTGCCTTGAGTGAACTTTATTATAGCATAAGCATTCTGCACCCTTTTCCACATATGCCCTTCAGTTCTAGTTGGGGTTGACTTTGTTTTGCCAAGCAAAGAAGTCTGTCCTTTATATTTCAGGGATGATGCCTAATAGATCTTTTTGAACAAATGCTTGCGAAGTTCTAGTCTAAAATAATTGTTCTCTTGCAACCTATATAAAATATATCAGAATTGTACCTTTTTCCAGTTCCATTCAGCATCAAGACTGTACTTACGACTTAGACACAGAAATCAAGGCCTAAGATAAATCATCTMCTTCTACAAAGTTTTCATAGTAAAGAATTGAGAAAAAAATTCCATGTGTGGCTGAACAAATGTGTGTGTGGGGTATTTTTTATTTTTCCACTGGAGGAAAAATATATAACAATTTGTGACAGTTGCAAGTGAGAAAGGCATAAGGTACAGCAGGGGGTGCCAGTGGAGAACTATTGTTGTGGTCCAGAGGGTTTTGCTTCCTCAAGTGATTTGAGGAGGTGCTTGTAACCTTGTTATTTCAAGTACTTTCTGGAAATGCTGTAGAAGAGTTTCCTGATGCCAAAACCATCAGATTACATGTTTGGGGTTTTTCAGACCAATATGAAGTTAAAAATTATGATGGGGTATTTCAGATTCTACTCTTCCAGAAGAAAAGAAACCGCAGCGTAGATCAGATGAATTAGGATATAAACCATGACTATGACAGGGACCTGTAGACATTCAGAATTTGTTGATATAATTGCCATAGGTAGAATACATCCAAACAGATTTTCTGGCTGTGGTTGAAGTATTAATAATAGCTTACAATATCAAAACCAAAACATTAATCAATAGTATTGCATTATTTTGTTGAATAATTCTAATGAAATGCTTTACTTTTCTCTTGCAGATGAACGGGAAGATGTTCAAAAGAAAACTTTCACAAAATGGATAAATGCACAGTTTGCTAAGGTAATTTTATTTATTTATTTATTTATTTATTTATTTATTTATTGACCAAAATATATTTTGCATGTTTAAAATGAAAACCCAAACAAACCTGATATTCCTACACTGAGGTTTAGTTTTCAAGAGAACAGTTATAAGTCTCAGATATTGCTGAATGTAATTGACTAATTTATTAGGAAAAAAAGTTTAAGCTTTATTCCTTTGATTTCAGTAGTGATTGAAATGTGAGAAGCAATCCTTCTCTCAAAATGTTCCCTTCCTCAATTAGCTTTGCCTTTTCTGAAGCTWGTGATGYACTGTATTACTGTCTGTTGGACTTYTTCRTGAAGTTTCTCATATACAAAGCAGTTTCTTTTATTAGACTTATCTTTTCTTGCTTCTAATTGCAACTTCACCTTTAATAAAACAAGATGACTTGAAGAAGAGCAAGGTCAGAGATAAGGGGTGTGATCCAGTTAACAAATTATGAAAGTCAATTATAATACTTTTTGAAACAGTTACTTCTGAGAATGGTAGATCATAAAGCTAGGGGAAAAAAAAATCCCAAATAACTAATTTATTTAAAGCATGCCCTTCTGGCAGTATATAATGATTTTGTCTTTCATACACAGGAAAAATTCAGCTTGAACAATTAATTTGCTGAAACTTTTTTTTATTAGTTCCTGGAGGATACTTATTCAAGTGTATTTGCCAGTAATAAAACAAATCAGTCCCACCATTTGTCATTTTACCAGGCAATAGACAGTGATGAAATAGTACCTGTGATGTGTCTTCCATTTAGTCTGGCTTTTGCTTGTGTCCCATCTGATTCTACTCATTAAAAAGGGGAATAAGACAATCTGAATACAAATACCGTCATGTTGAAATAAATTCTCAGCAGTGGTTTAKTCCATCAGGGAGTCCCACAGAGCTTTTCCATGGTCTAGAGCATTTTCTAACACCGACTCGAGTGATTTAGACAGCACACATTTGTGCTCAGCATCTTTACAGCAGAGTTGTCCAGCAGTCTGGAGGACTGGATCAGAATGAAATACAGTCTTGAATAAATGAAGAWTTACAAGACAACTGTGAAGTATTTTATTTAGGACAGCAGTAAAACATGCATACAGAAGGTGGGGGGGGGGGGGTGGATAGCTGTGCTGGCAATAATGAAGCAAAGGAAAGCTCTTGGAGCTGTGTTGAATCATTTCAATAAAATGAATCTGCAACATGATACTAATGCAGAAAAAAAAGGAAAAAAAAAAAACCAACTTTAATATGGTTCTGGTAATGGAAGTGCTTCACAGAAGGTGAAAGGTGTAATTATTTCCTTTTTCTTGGCAACAGTGAGATTTTAGCTTGAGTAATTTGTCATCTTGGTTTTCCATATATGAATAAGTAGCCCCAGCAACAATCATCTGATACARCCTAATTTGAAATGTATTACCAGTTAGGCCTTTTTATGGTCACAGAAATAGTTGTGGAAAATGAAGAGTAACTGTTTTGCTTCTATTTCTAAAGAAWATGTAATGCTCCTACAGCACTGTTTTCTCAGAAATTATTGTTTTAATGGAATAGAAAAGCTTGCAGTTACTGAGGAAACTTGAACTACTTCTGCAGAAGAAAAACAAGAATTATGAACAGTTTAGAAAATACCTATCAGCAGATGCTTTTCATGTTAAGTTTGACTTATTCTTCTGAATGATCTAAAGGCCTTCCCTCCAGCTTTAGTTCTGTGAAGTGTACTTTAATGGTGTTGTAGCTACATTTTACTTGAATTTTATAAATAGTGGTTTTAGTTGCATGTGAGAAACATTGTGAAAGTACAAATTTGTACATTTGTAAAAGTATTAATCTCCCTTTGCTTCATTTGCACTCTGAGGAAAACCTCCCAGTAATGATGATGCAAGTTTTTATTTGCCTGAAACATCACCTGGGTTTTTTTTGGACAGGGTCTTCTTATTTTAGCTGTCAAAAAACTCTTCATCTTTAAATCCTGGAAGAATTACTCTTGTCCTACAAAAATGTTGCACGTAACACAAGAATACTTGGTCTGGTTGGAAATTTGGTGTAAGCTCAGTAATTTGACGGGCTGGATGCCTGTGTGCTGCACTCTCATCAGGGTAGTCAGTCACGTGCTATGCAAACGTTATTTCTTTCTGGTGTTTTAGGACAGAAATCAAGAGATTGTGCTGTAACATGAACAATCATAGTTAAGTACTTTGTGCTGTCCCAGGACAGTGTTYCTCACTGTTCTAACAGCTCAGAGAGGTGATCTTCAAAACATGAGAGAGGATCTCCATGTGAAATCCACAATTYATCCCTCTTTTTCTCCTGATTTGTTTGCAGTGATTCAAATCTGTCTCTGTTTCTAGCTGTGGAATCGATTTCAGTTCACAGGCTACTCCTTGGTAGTGATTTCTCATCATTGTCAGCTTTGTAAAAGTGCTAAATGATTTACTTTCATTGTAGAATTGTTTTTTATTCAATTCTGTGTAGTTCTAGAGGTTCTGTCTTGAGTAGATTAGTTTACAGGGTTGGAGTTAGATTAGCAGGATTGGAATTAAGACAGAGAAATGCATTACAATAGTCATTTCTCTTATTTGGGAATCATGAAATCCAGGTGAGTAATTAACTGTAAAATATTTAGGGTTAAATTAAATTATATTAGATAATTCTTATCCAGGTAGGAAGGCCCACCACCTTCCATATGTTAAAAAAAACCAAAAAAACATACTTGTACAGTCAAAATAAAAGCTTAGTTCTAAATATTCTAAATTTTCATTTGTGTTGGGTGTATAGTGCATTTCTCCCCAAAGAGCTGTGTTACTTTCCTGAAAATCCAATGTCTAGACCACCCATGTCTCAGTCACTAATTTGCAGACTAAGCTTTTAAAACAYTGAAATTTGCAAGTTGTTTCACATGACTTGTGATGTAAATACAAATCATGTCTTTAAGTGTGAATAAATTGTAAATAATTGAAAAAATAAYATTCTGATTTATGTATAGCCAGCATAATTTGAGAACCCACATATAATTTTCAACTGTAGGGGGAAACAAWTGTCCTTGTTCTGGATATGCCCACAGTGACATTTTAGTAGGAACGTGCTTCAGACTCAGATGCCTTGAATTTAACAATGAATTCTGCTACCTCTTAACTGTGAAGTCCCTAACACAAAATCCATAACAAACTTTCAGCCACACAATTTTGACACTTTTTTGTCTCTGAGGTGCAGAACCTCAAACACCAGTGGTGTGCTAATAAAAAGTCTGTGAAAGGATATCTAGGAAAAGATGGCAGAACTGTCAGCAAGATTTCAKTTGCTATGGGTGAAGCTGTGTCTCCTTTCAGACTTTTTTGGCCAGTTGAATAGGGTGGTCTAAATGAAACAAGTGGGGGAAATATATTTTGCAGGTCCCTCTTAGAGTTGCTCAAAAGAGCAGGTTTCTCTCAAATTCTTCTTTTACGAGCCAGAAAATGGATTATGCGCAAAATCTGGGCTTTGAAAATTAYGGTATGTGATTTATTTATAAGCAAGTCATCAATGTTTCAGTAGGAAAGGCCAAAAGTTGGCTTTCAGTGTTCCGGAGATAAAACACTTAGTAAATTTAAAGTGTAAGAGAAATGGGAGAAGGTAATCCAAGAGACCTCTGTTTTCCCTGTTGTAATCATAGACATGGGGTGTGATTTCATTAGTGATACCTTCTTGGTTTACCATCTAAATGGCATAGAATAAATTGAAATTTAAAGCAATTCTTTAAATCTGGAACATAACACTTTAATATAGTTTTATTCAGAGAGAACCCTATTTTTTGTCCTCAGAAGAAGTTTATTTATAAAATAATGATGTTCTGCAGGGCGTATGTAATGCTATCAAAGGAAGGTATTATAACCTAGTTTTTAATAATAGAACTGTAATTAGAGCTCTCACATGAGATATGTCTAGTCCAGGGTATGAGAGTTTTTGCTCCGATATCAACTTTTAGAAATTTTATATATAACTGAAATCCTGAACTATATRTTTCAGGAGAATGCAAATCTGTCACAGTCTTGCCAGTGCAGCAGCTTTTTGCTGAATTTTTAAAACAGGCAAAACAATTACATTAACAATGTCTGTATCCCATTGTAAATGAATTTATGTTGCCTTACTGGTTAAATATTTTGAGTTGTTCATTGAATGATAGCCATCAAAACAAAGTGCTCCTGAAGATGGAAATACTCTTGAGTTGTGTATAGGAAAGAATTTGTGTATGCCAATTCATTCTATAACCAAAACATGAAAATTCTGGCATAAAAGAAAACCCAAACAAGAAAAAAAAAAACAA